TAGAAAGTAGAATAATTGCTGCAAAATGTAACGAAGTAAAAGTAAAAAGTATGCACTATTTATTCTACTTAAGTAAAGTAAAGATACGTGAAAAATGTACTTAAGTAAAGTAACAAAGTATTTGTACTTCGTTACATTCCACCACTGGGTGAGGGTTCTGTATGTGTAGCACTATAGACGTCATATACGTCGTCTTTTTGTCTAATAACTGTACCTAACATTAGCCGTTCGCGGTCAAACACAGTTTGATGTCGCGATTTTCAATGCCCAGAGCCTGTTAAACTTGAGCCAGCCAACCCCGTGACGTCACCTGCACAATGGCGGCGCCCTGGCGGCGAAAGATACAAAGTTTTTTCTTTTTTTCTTCTAAATGTTTACATTTGTAATGTTCCTTATATAATTGTTGATTATATTGGAAATCCATCTTGTAAATCATGTAAACTTGATTCACTGCTTCATTTCCCCTTTTAAATGTAGAATTTTATTTTACTCACCATTTGAATACCAAATCAGCTCATGAAAACTGTGTCTAACATTGGTCTTCATATCTTATCACAAAATATGCATTAACATTAGAATTTAATCAGGCTTTCATATTTTTTCCGATTGTGTGGTAAATTCTACACACAGAAAAATAAATATTGACCTAATTTGTCTTCTTATCACAAAAATATGAATAAAAACTATCAAATATCATAGTTGAACTCAGCATAACGGGGTTGCAAATGATAACAGGATTGAAGTGATTATCATTATTTTAACATAGAATGGATTTATTTATTATGGGTTATTTTTTATTTTTCCCTGCCTCTGTGTCCCTTTTCCACCTTTCACGTTCACTCCTGTCTCCCTTCTCTCTGTGTGTCTTTGCCTCTACTGCTGCTGTTTTGCCATTGTGATGTCTGAAAATAAAATAGCATAATCGATTATTTCTGACAGTTCACATTACAATTGAGTAATCTACTAAGAACATTCAACCCTGTCACAAAGATTCAACCCTGTTATAATAAAAATGTGAGTGGGTTGAATGTGATGGGGTTGAAGTTTTTGGCTAATAGTAGCTATAGCATCATGGCATTTAGGACATCATCAAATTGTAATGTTTTGCAAAACTATTATTTAATTCTTCTTAAACCGTTGTTTACAATCATTTAGTCATACAACAGAGTTGAAATGTTGAGCCTGACAATCTTAATCTGACAGCGAAAAACATGAAATATAGGTAAGAAACGACACTGACACTCGCCTTTCTTGGCAGCATATTTTTCAAGAGACTTGTGTGATGTCACTTCCTGGCTGAGATGCCACAGGGATTGATCCTTTATTTTTATAGGGGGGTAAATAGTATGGCGTGACAGGGTTGAAAACAAACTGGAGGACATGTATAAATATTGCAATTTCATATATAATTAATTCTTATTTCTTATTAATTCTTATTTTAGTTAAAGTAGACCAACATATGATTATATTAGCAGCAACATTTTGGTATTAATTGCACTTTTTATTTGTTTGATATTCAATGAAAATGTAATGATGGTTAGTGAGGACATGCAAACTTGCTTGTTGTCTACTACTTAGGCAACCCATTATTTTTTAATTATTTTTTTTAAAGCAATTGTGTTGCATTATAATGCAAAGACACCTGGTTCTAATAATTGACAGCATTTTTTGATTTCGTTCAATAGCTTGTTTTCATATGACGTCACGCCACATACACATAAAGATGGCTTTTCATAGGGATACAAAATTCTTTGCCGCAGATACCAGGCCTTTTCTATAAATTTTGCCAAAGCAAAAACATAATTTCCAAACATCCAGCACAAAATCTCCCTTCATATTTCCAAAATACAGATCAGGATTTTTTAACAGAACTGATTCAAAAAGAGTGGAACTGAGATTCACTTTCTCTTCTGCAGAATATTAAAGATTGAAAAATTACATTTAAACAAACTTACACAGCAAGAAGAAAATATCTGTCTGTGAAACACAACGACTAAAAGAAAAAGTCTTGCTTTATCTATTGATCTATTGATTCTTAAGCGTATTTATATTACCTTTTATAAATGTATTCCTTTAAACTATGCACATGTGTGATTGATTAATAATTACATAGATAATATCTAAATCATACAAAATTATTATTCTAAATAAGCATTACTAAAAGCCCGATGATTTTGTCTGTAAAAATCATTTGCTATGTAGTGTAAAAGAATGTGAATTAATGCTTTAAATGCTGTTGTGCTCAAATTGACTTATTGTGCATGAAATAAAGATATCTGCAGAGGAGCTGTAGAAGAGCAGACGCGTCTCTCGTTCTGTTCTTTTGCTTCCTGTTCACAGATAATCTCATCTCCTGGGGTAGGAGCTTGTGGCCATAGAGCATAAAGCGATCAGTCGTTGCAGTGCACAAACAAGCATGACCATGATACCACATCTGCCGTGTGAGTTTTTGAACCTGTTTATACTCTGAGCAAACGACAGTTCAACAGGAAACAAACATGCACTCAATGCCAGATCTTAACTAGAATTACAGCTGCAAAAGGTGGAAAACTTTTAAATACAGTGCACTTTACTTTCATTTCACTTTATAGAAACATGTCCTATTGTGTATGTGCCAAGTTCAAAGCTTCATAAATTAAAAATTCCACAGTAATAATTGCTCAAAATTTGGATTACTCATCATGTCCAATTTAACGCACCCTCTGAGAGTGGAATGGGCAGAAAAGGCATTGTGTAATGTGTCAAGTTTAAAGCTTCATATAAAAAAACAAATTACACAGTAATAATTGCTCAAAATTTGTATTTCGTTAGAGGAGTAGCTCTACTATAATGTACAAATTTCCTCCTTACATCATATAACTGACGTCTTGGGACGTCTTTTGACCATACGTCAACATCCGCCGTTTATACCCTTTAACGTCGGTTACATGACGATCCCGGGCCGTCATACAACTGACGCTTTACCTTTAACGGGGTAGGTTTAGGTCAGGGGTATGTTAAGATCCGATAACGTCATCTACCCCTGCAAGGACTCCAGAACATCAAACATGAATGATTATACAAAATTATAATTTTATAATTGCTTTAACATACACATTAATTTAGCTAAAATGCATATATTATATTTGTAAATACTATAATTTGTGGTATCTTATAGTTTTACATTTTACATCTGGCTAGACAGTATTGACGTTAATCACAATCTTGCTCATCCCCGATAAATATCAAACATGTTTGATATGATCGGAGCGAGCCCGATTTGTGTGAGAGCAGATCGGGAAGTGCAATATTCGATCTGTGAATGCACGTTACTAGATAATCTGCGCCGAACATCGGAAGCGATCGAGGTAACCCAGCAAGATTTTTTCTCCGATTTTCGTGCGGGCATAAATCGGCCTAAAACTCATGTAGCCTAGTGTGAGTCAGGCTTTAGAAAGATATGGACCCAATCTGACAATACAGAGTTATCACATTGTTGGCCTATTTGGTTTCACTGATGCTTTATACCCTGAATCTGTGCTTGAATATAATCATGCACAATTTCAGATGTTTTTACTGTATAAAAAGCCATTGCGTGAATCCCGTTAATCTCGCGATATCACTCTGTGATCTCACAGGTGTCTGATCCACTGCGAGAACCGAGATCAGACCGGCTTTCTATTGAGATGTAACTATATCCCTGGGAAATTACCAATTAAACTATCCACATTTCACCAGCAAGTGTTATTGTCTCCATCACAATTTTTCGCCTCACAAAATGCTTCTCTGGAACAATTGTCTCATTACCTCTAGGAAAACATCTTTATTTTTACACAAATGGTTTGAAAGAAATATATACTTTGTCATGGATTTCTTTGATGAAAATGGAAATGTTTTGTCTTATGAAGCATTTATGTTTATACCTACAATTTCCCCATTCCAGCGAAAGAGTTTCAGCTACTAGTTGTAAAAGCAATTCCAGTTAAAACATTTAATGAAAAGTCACCTTATGGAAGTAACGAAAGGAAACTTCCCGAGTTAATAATTGATGGTATCAAACTATTCTCTCATTCCTGTAGGCTAATAATAAAAATATAAGATAAATCTTTCAATCCAAGCATAAAATCTCTCCTAGAGGCAATTTTTTTTTGGGAATGCACTAATTGCTGATATTCATTGGAAAGAGGCGTGGTTAAATCCATATAAATTTTGTATGCTGAATAAAGGTACATTTCAAAATACTTCATAAAATCTACCCATGTAAAGCTTTGTTATCCAAATTCATGGACATTGACAACAAATGTTCTTTTTGTAATGTTTATGAAGAAGACTTGGCTTATTTGTTTTATGTGATTTATCTAAAAAAATTTGGTCTGATGTTAGTCATTTTCTTTTTGCCCCAAGAAAAATTAATTATAAATTATCTCTAAAAGATGTTACGTGTTCTTATACACACAGAAGCAAATTGTGTGAATATGTGGTGAATTTCTTCATTTTGCATGGTAAATATTATATCCATTAACAAAAATTTGCTAAATCCATTCCAAAATGTAATCTATTTTTAATAGAGATTGAATCGCTGAGGAAGTCTCTTAAATTAGTTAAAAATAAAAAGAATCAAATGTTGTTAAACTTTATGGAGAAATTCTTTGTATTGTAATTAATGCCCCTACTTAGTTTACCAAATTATATGAACATTAAAAGTGTCTATAGGAAAAGAAAGAAATATTGAGCCTTTTTTTTTCAACGCATTCTCACCCCAAAAGGCGTCACCTTTGACCATGCTTCAATATTTGACGCTTTAGGCGCCCTTTAGCGTCACTTACATGACGCGATCCTACGGCGTCATCTAACTGACGCTTAAGGGCGCCTAAAGCGTCAGATATTGAAGCATGGTCAAATGGGGTGAGAATGGGCTGTTTTTAATGTATATTTATTTAGTTTTTATTTGTTTTGGGGTTTTTTTGTTTGTTTTTTCTTCCTCTCCTTTGTTTTTGTTATCCCTGTTTATTTGTTTAAACATGTTTCAATATATGTGATATCTGTCAATATATGTGATATCTGTCATGTGAAGCATTCCTGTTATATACTATATTTTGTACTTGGATTTATTTCTCAATTTAAAAAAATTAAAAAAATAAGTCCGGCTTGCCTGCGCTTTCTTCACTCCTCCTCTCACTGACTGCAGCTATACTCTCACACATTTAGTTGATAGGCGCATCTCAAACTGCCTGCTTGTGCTGCGGTTGATCTCTCGCAGCACTGGATGTGTTGTCTCTTTTGCTCATCACAAGGTAGGCTAAGGTAATGTAAACCTGTATTGCTCAACACTCATTTTAAAGTTCACTCTGAACTGAACTACTTGTATTCTTTTGAACAGATATTACCAAAGGGAAAATATATGAGGAATTACAGCATGGAGAACATGTATTGAGCTTCACAAACACAGAATAATGAAACGTGTGGACAAGAGAGAAAGAGAAAAATGGGCAATAAAAATGACAAAACATTACAATCTACTGAACCCGAAAGGAAAAACATGCCGAGAGTCAGAAGAAGAAACAGCCTCTACAGCGGCAAACCAAACTGTGAGTATTTATGATGTTTAATATCAAACACTTCTATGTGTTTCATCTTCTCTGGTGTCTGAATGTGTAAAATCAATTCTAAACATTAGTTTCTGGAACTTTATTATATAAATATTGTAAATGTACATCCACAAGTGTAAGCGTTTGGCAGACTCTGATTCATCAATTGTCACAGTTTAAGCAGCAAAATAATCGTAATTTTAACGGTAAAAGACTGTAAAAATGTTACAGTGCAAAACTGTTGATTGGTTAACAGAAAGTTTCCGTACCATATACGGTAAATAACTGTGATATATTTTTTACTGTAAAATCCCATTAGATTTACAGTTTTTGAAAGTGAAAAGGAACAACTCCTTGTATAATTTACAGTGCTTCTTTATATAAGTATTAACCTTCTAACGGAAGACAACTTCGGATGAGACTTGATTGCTCGTGTAACTCTCATCACTACTTTGATGATTGAGTGTTGTCAGTATATTACAGTGGTACAAAACAGAAATCAATTTTTCAAAAGGATGGTATATTAACAGATTTCAGAAAATGAAATACGGTTTATTACTGTAAAGGTGATTATGGTTTATTACTCTAAAGGTGACTACAATTTTAATGTATTTTTACAGAATTGTTCTGGCAACCAAAGTTTCCAGCATTATTCCGTAAAAAATAGATAATAGTAATAGTAATATGCTACTATAATCTGGTGTGTGTGTTCTTCATTCACAGTTTCTCATGCTTCACCGATTCATCGTGATGTTTCAGAGTCACAGAAAAGGTGAGAGAGAAATGTTGAAAACTGAAGCAGAAATCCTATATATTGTTTGTAAGCAATAAGGTACTCGAGGCAAGTGCTGTATCATGAATAAGTTCATGACGGCGCGAAGCGGAGTGCCTGCAACCCCTTCAGCCGTTACTTATTCACGATACAGCACTTGCCTCGAGTACCTTATTGCTTTTATAAAACGGTTGCCACACAATATTAAAGTAAAAAAAATTAAATGTATTAGTGCAACTTTCATGTAGTTAAATTAATAAAAACATTCCTTCCGCTAGAAAAATATAGTCCCTGACTGTGAACAACAACGTTCCAATGTGTAATATGCAGGAAAGCTCAAATAAAAACAACAAACCATTCTCAAACTTTTATCTCAATCTTTTTATATTTTTACAACACAAAATCTGTGAAATTTCCTCACACAAAAGGCATAGCTTATCTCTCAGCAAAATACAAATAAAATAAAATAAAATAAAAAACAAATAAAATAATAAAAAAAAGGGCACATATTTTGATAGATAACAGTTAGGTCTTTATCTAGTTATTAATTTAGTTGCTAAAATGCTGCCTAACAAGAGATACTTTATTTATTGTTGTTTATTTAAATTTATTTGAACATCTCCGTTTATTGTGCACGCATTATTTGTCTCATTTCAATCGGCTCCACTGTGGTGATATTTTAGTTGGGGCTCAGCGCTGTCAGTGGTGTTTTCTGTTGCAGCAAGAACCAGTGTTGTATAAAAGTAGAAGTAGCCTAGAAAAAAAGTAGAAGTCCTGCCATGTGTTTATTCCAGCCATGAACTGATCGACAGTTGATTAGGGCTGATTTCTGTCTCCTGGCTGAAAAACTGCTAATAAGCAAATCCAGGTGATTGGAACAAAATACTGAGGCGGACTTTTACTTTCTGAACCTGGACTTTACTCCTCTGAAGAGAACAGAAAAGGAGATAACACAGTCAGTTTGTATGTTTGGATTTCAAAAATATAGTATACATGCACTTTAAAATGTAATTCAATTGCTTAGTAAATATCACAGTATAGTTAACATCTCTGAACATCATTTACTTGATAGTTTGAATTGAACGTTCAAAAAATAATTGACAAAACATCCGACTGTTAATTTTGTCTAAACTTTTACGTTTTTTTCACTAAAAGAATTTAGTGTTTAACTAACCAATCATTTATTTAAAATATACTTGATCTATTTGTGAAATTTCCATAAAAAAATTTGAGAATGGATAATTAAACTGATCTGTTTCAAGAACCACAAATATTACTTTATTCAAATCAATATCGTTCATATTTACACTCTAAAAAATGCTAGGTGGTTTCATCCCAAATTTGGGTTAAATATGGACAAACCTAAATGTTGGGTTAAAAATGTAATAAAAAAAATTTACAATTGAAAGTGAAAGTTGAAGTCGGATTCAAATTTTAAAATGCATTTTTAAACTAACATTTGGGTTTGTCCATATGTGACCCAAATTTGAGTTAAAACAACCCAGCATCGTTTAGAGTGTAACACACAGAAGAAATGAAGTAAGTTTACTGAATTAAGGAACCACTGCCATTCTTGGAGACTGACTGAGTTGTTGTTCTGGACAGGTTGACGCCCAGCAGCACAGATCTGAGACCTGTCATGACGTGCCTAACTTCAGGGTCCGAGTGTCAGCTGCATAATCGATGGAGATATGTCTGTCTGTATATGTGTGGAAAATCACTGTGTGTGTGTGTGTGTGTGTGTGTGTGTTGAAGGGTATAACAGCCCATTCTCACCTCCAAGGCGTCACCAAACTGACGCCTTGGGAAGCGTTTGACCATGCTTCAATATCTGACGCTTTAGGCGCCCTTTAGCGTCAGTTAGATGACGCCCTAGGATCGCGTACCCCCACCCCACACCTAAACCTAACCGAGTCATCTAACTCAGCCTTTCTCAAAGTGGGTGCCGCGGCACACTGGGGTGCCCCCTGACTGTGTTGGGGGTGCCGCCAAAAAATTACGTAGGCTAAAAAAAAATGTAAAAAATAAATAAAAAAACAACTGACATTTCATAGGCTATATAAATATATTTGAATTTACATATTTACATTCTTCTTTTTAAACATATGAACGTATTAATAAAATTGTAAATTCATTTTAGATAAATATATAAAATTATTAAGCATAAAAATCCGTCTCGCAAGACACGAAACTTGACGGAAGTGACGCAATCCATAGCAACGCGTTATAGCAACAACACCTCAGACTGACAGAAACGTAAAAATAAACGTAAATTTAGGTCACTTTAGTTACAGCATCATGGATCTTTTTTTTTTTTTTTTTTGAAAAGAAAATCCCCCCAAGAACCGGACAGTTTTTCTGTGAAATGGAGCCTCAGCCTACTTCCTCAGTACTGGGGATGCAACATGCCCTCTCCCGTTGTGTCTAATATATGGGATGAAACTATCAAACCAAGGGATGATTCCGCAAACTTAAAAGACACCTGACCACCTCTCATCCAACCCTGCCAGGATAGGGCGGCTGTGTGCGTCGCACCAGGCTCACGTCTAGATTGTGGTCACCCCCACCCCCGGCTTGTGTGAGCGCGTTTACGCGCTGCATGCACGCATGTAGATCGTTCTCCCTCTCTCGTTGTGGATTATTGTTTGTGTGTGTGTGTGTGTGTGTGTGTGTGTGTGCATGTGCATGGCACGGATAAAAAAACAAGCACTATATGGAAAAACATTCCTGCTTATCTCTGGTGCATTTTTTAACATGCATCTTTTTCTTATTGCATTGTATATCAACGCATTCTCACCCCAAGGCGTCACCTTTGACCATGCTTCAATATTTGACGTTTTAGGCGCCCTTTAGCGTCACTTACATGACGCGATCCTACGGCGTCATCTAACTGACGCTAAAGGAAAGCGTCAGTTAGAGGACGCGGTTAGGTTTAGGTGTGGGGTGGGGGTAGGGTACACGCGATCCTAGGGCGTCATCTAACTGACGCTAAAGGGCGCCTAAAGCGTCAGATATTGAAGCATGTCCAAATGCTTCCCAAGGCGTCAGTTAGGTGACGCCTTGGGAGTGAGAATGGGCTGTGTATATATATATACACTCTAAAAAATGCTGGGTTGTTTTAACCCAATTTTGGGTCAAATATGGACAAACCCGAAATGTTGGGTTAAAATTGTAATGTAAAAATTTAACCCAATGGCTGGGTTAGTCCATATTTGACCCAAAGTTGGGTTAAAACAACCCAGCATTTTTTAGAGTGTATATATATATATATATATATATATATATATATATGAAGAGTTCAGATGCAAAAGCCTCTAAATGCCATTTGAAATTTTCTTCTTTAATGATGATTTTTATCAAACTTGTATATTTAAATTCAGTAATTTCACTTAAATGGCAACGATAATTACCTATTAATTGTTATTTAAGTGAAATCACTGAACTTAAATATACAAGCTTGAAAAAAATTATCATTCTAGAAGAAAATTTCAAATGGCACTTAGAGGCTATTGCATCTGAACTCTTCATATATATATATATATATATATATATATATATATATATATATATATATTAATGTGTTCCCCTTTTTATTTTATTTTAACTGCATCCTGCACTTCATTTGAGTTCTCCTGGCCTGGATTTGTTATTGGGTTCTTGTATTGGGCGGTCCACCTCTTACGGTTTTATGGCATTTGTGTCTCTGATTAATTATTTTGTGAATTACTTTGCAAACCTTTGTTTTTAAAGGTACTATACAGTTTTTATTATTATTGTTATTTACAGTTCATATTATGCTATGTTCATTACTGTTCTGTCTAACTAAACAAGACATTTGCATTTACATTTGGGTTATGCAGTCTTTTTAAATTATATTTTACACTGGGGTGCCTTGAGATTTTATGCACTTTTGAAAGGTGCCCTGACTGAAAAAAGTTTGAGAAAGGCTGATCTAACTGATTTTTTTTTATAATTCTGACTCCGGGTCATCATTCATCGTATCTCTGCGTCTTTGACTGTATACCCCTTACAATACCAACAAAGTTTAATGTTTGCAATTTGAAGTTCACTCTTAATAATAAAACTGAATGAATGAATAAAACTGATTCATTCATCTTGTTAAACGTGATGTATATAAAATGAAAACAATATATGCATATTTTTATTATGATTATTCGTATTACTATGATTAATCCTTTCACATATTATTCTTGTATTGTATGCATTATGCTTTTTGCCTATTGTATATTTTAATACCACATACTTAGGTGTTCTACGCGACATTTAGTTTCATTCTACTCTGAGAATATACGGCTATTTTAGGCTACACATGCTAACTTTTTTCCATTTGTGGTATGACATCTTGTTTATAATCAAGTTTTACATGACGTGGTTATCTGGAAATAAGGCTATATATGTATAAAGTCTAGATGTGATGGAAAAACCTATTTGGCCACTTCGCCTTCTTCTTAAAGGGTTAGTTCTCGTTTGAAAGGCAAAGGGTTGCTGTAATTTATAATAAAATCCTCAAAACCACTAAGAAATCTAGTTTTAAATATACTTCTTTTGAAGTATTGGTGTTTAGTGTAAAAATATATAGTGTAAATGATAAATCAGGTTTGAGAATTCTGCTGGCTACTGTATACAGGCCACCAGGGCATCATAAAGATTTTATCAAAGAATTTGCAGACTTTAGTCCTGACTGCAGATAAAGTACTAATAGTTGGTGACTTTAATATACATGTAGATAATGAAAAAGATGCATTGGGATTGGCATTTAAAGACATTATAAACTCAACTGGAGTCAGACAACACGTGTTAGGACCCACTCATTGTCGCACTCTTGATCTAATATTGTCATGATTTCCATTACACAACTCATGCTGATTTGTACTCGGCTTTTGCCAAGATAAGCAAAACTAAGACTTCGTATAGCAAAGAAAAATTACTATTCATATCAACTTAAAGAGTCTGCTAGCAATATAAAATCCACATGGAATATCATTAATGAATTACTTAACACAAAAAAAGTTCTGCTAAAATTCCAACTAATTTTCCTAAAGATGGTATTTCTTTACCAACCCTTCTGATATAGCAAATGGATTTAATGATTTCTTTGCCGATGTTGGTAGACATCTTGCTGAAAAAATTGTTTGTACAGATGGTTGTCTAACTGACCCAATTACTGGTTGCTTTCCCGCAATAGGTCATTTTGATCCTCCTACATCCAGAGAAGTGCTTGGCATTATAAACAACCTGAATGACACTGCAGCAGGTCATGATTAAATGAAAGCAAAGCTTTTAAAAAAAAGTGGCATTAACAATTAGTGAGCCATTAATATCCTTTTACTTTCGTTAAAAGTGGGGTAGTCCCAAAAGATTGGAAGATTGGAAAGGTTATACCTTTATTCAAGGATAGCCTTTTCAATAATTATAGACCAATCTCTATTTCACCTTGATTCTCTAAAGTTTTGGAAAAGCTGGTATATGTAATAATGTTCAAATATCTGAATGACAACAAGATCCTAAATAAACATCAATGTGAATATCGACAACAACACTCAACATATATGGCTTTGTTACAAGTCATAGACAAAATTACTACAGCACTGGATAACAACATGTTTGCTTGCAATTGGTATATTTTCAGATTTATCAAAAGCTTTCGATGCAGTCCATTATGAAATTCTGATTTCCAAACTTTACTGTTATGGGTTTCAGGATGTTGTAATCCATTGGATTATTGATTACTTGTATAAAAGAGAGCAATATGTATTTATAAATGGCAGTACTTCCAAGAGAATTAAGATATATTGTGGTGTACCTCAGGGATATATTCTTGGGCCACTCCTGTTTCTCATTTATATAAATGACTTAGCTTGGATGTTTGAATCTGCATTGCCCATTCTATTCGCAGATTATACTATTGTCATATCAAATGCAAACTTTGTTTCCTTGATGAATGAAGCTAATAATGTTGTACTGTATAATTTTTTTTTTTTTTTGTTCTGCACGGAAATCACAAGGAGGGGAACGAATCCCGCTTGGGATTATACAGAGCTCCACTCCACGTACATGAATAAACAACAAAAACAAAACAAAAAAAGACAAAATAAACACATGCAAACAGACAAGTTGGAGGATAAAAAGGGAAAAAAAACATTTTATCAGAAACCTTAACCTGAAGGTTGATGTTGAAGATTTATGATAGAAGAAAATCAAAAGCGAAGAGCAACATATGAACTAAACTATAACCAGATGCTGTAATAATAAAATCAAAAATTCTTTCAACTGTTTTTTTAAAGACAGACAAAGAAGACATAGATCTTAGGGACAAACTTAATTTACTCCATAGTTGAGGACCCCTAAAGCTGAGGTCAGTTTTAAAGCCTGAAGTTCTAGAAAACGGTAAGACAAGATTTATTACACTATGCCTTGTTTGATGGATATGAGTATCTGAGATTAAAGTAAAAAAAGTGTTGTAAAATTGGTGGAAGGTCTTCTCTCTTGTAAATAAACTTATGAATAAACATGCATGATAAGTAGACACTGACATTCTCAATAAATCTTGTATCTAAGAAATAGTAGTGCTGAAGGAGCATATTTATACGAGTGAGAAATCATCTGCAAGAACTTCTTTTGGATTTTCGAAATTTTTGCCAGGTAAGTGGGAACATTTTAGAGGATCTTGTACAAAGTATAATAAAGTTACATTTTTTGACATTAAGCGTTAACTTGTTAGTACGAAACCAATTTGATAATATTT